GAGAGAGAGAGAGAGAGAGAGAGAGAGAGAGAGAGAGAGAGAGAGAGAGAGAGAGAGAGAGAGAGATAGAGACACGCCGCGCGCTAACTACCAAAGATACGGCGCAATATTAACTGCGCTGATGACAACCCATCCCACACACATAATTAAAGGCCCATGACGAAGCGCCATAATATGTCACACTATATTATAGTGTAGGCTGAACACTGCGAGCGCCCTCTAGCGTATGCCAGACACTCCAAGCGCCCTCTAGCGTACGATATACACTTTGAGAGACCTCTAGTGTAGGCCGAATACTGCAAGCGCCCTCTAGCGTAGGTTGAACATTGCGAGCGCCCTCTAGATGTGGACGAAAGTGTATCCAAAGCCAAGCGCCGATATTTGACACAATGTGTGGATTTAAAAATAGATATTCCACAATAGATATAGACATATTTTAAGACAGATGAGCAACTGCAGATAAAGGCAAGACTAAAATAGACAATATTTTTAGGTTCTCTAGCACCTTCATTAGAACTTTGTACTTACTTTTTTTTTACGCACCAAGAATGCTAATGTGTTATAGTACGTGTGTATCTGTGTGCGTGTTACTATGTTCATTGGGTTTGTATTAGTAAGTATTGTTTTATTAACGCCTTATTAATTGTTTTGTTTTAATAATAATTTGTTTTATTATTATTATTTGTTTGGTTGCGTAGGTGACGAAACGTTACCTCTACGTTGTGTCGCGAGTAAGGAGAGAAAGAAAAAAAGCAGTTTCGTTTCTAGACGCGATCACAATGTTACACCAACGGATAGCAGTTTTTAGATATTAGTTTCTTTATCACTTCAAACATGTTACTGTTGCATTGTATGTTAGATGTGTAGATAGCGTTGTAGTCTCGTGTAGCAACTTGCGTGTATGGCTGGCGGAAAAGCAAAAGGAAAGGAAGGCTGGCAAGATGCAGCTCACAAAGGAAAGCAAGCAAGTACAGACTTCGCACATAGACTTTCAAGCTCAATTAGTGGATTGATGTAGATTTCTAGCCAATACTCGTGTCGTGCATTCAACCATATAAACGCCATATAACAGAAATAAATAGTTCATCATATGCATATAATATATTGATTTGTTTTTTTTACATTTTCTGTTGTAAGTCAACTCTCAAGAGTACTCCTAAAAGCCTAGTCAGATCAGCAAACGACGGCATTGAATATTATACTCACACGCACGTGTGATGAGAACTAAAACGAGGCATATCAACGTGCGCACA